CACCAACACCAACTTGATATGTTTCCGAGTTTTTGGTGTTTTTACGACGCCGAACCGGTCTCTACAAGCCTACAAACTCGCTCCTTTGAGCGGACTTTTGATTTTCTCCACGCTCATTCCTATTTCTCATTTCCTTGCANGAATGAACCTCTGGGATTCCTAGAAAAAGCAATCCAGCGGCAATACAGTAAGTTTTTCATGGGATAAAGGTTATATCATTATGGTATAGGAATGAGCGTGGAGAAAATCAAAAGTCCGCTCAAAGGAGCGAGTTTGTAGGCTTGTAGAGACTGGTTCGGCGTTATAAAAACACCAAAAACTCGGAATCATATCAAGTTGGTGTTGGTGTAAATCATCCCAGGTTGTAGTTGGTGTTGGGGTTGGTGGGCATTAAAGCTTCAAGGATCTTCAGCGAAACACTCGACTAGCCAAACACACGTTACCAACCACATGGATACAAAATGCAAATTCAAGGTTTAAAAAAATTGAGCAGGGAGCGGACAAAAATAAGGAGAGTAAGGGAAGGTTCGCGAACCGCGCAGCACTGACCCAGCGAAGTCGTGCAGTCCAAAGTCCACGGCCGGGGCATCGAATTATTGCGGTCAAATTTCTCGACATGGGTTATTCAGCGCTGAGTCAAACGGGATTTGGATACAATAAGTCACTATAATACTATTTTAGTACTAGCAGTAGCACTGACCAATGTATACAAGGCGACTTTTTGCCGTTCTCTTCATCTTTTCATAAAATTCCTATTTGTAAGAAGTTTCTGAGAAATCGAAATTGGGGGCATGTGCCATCAGAAAGTCATCAATATTGCAACACTTGTTCTCTACCCAGAGAGGGCCTCGGACGTTCCGGGGATACCGATTATCGTGTTCAAAACAACTACAAATAAACTAGCAGTATTGAAAAGCCTTCTAGTAGGGAGCAGAAGACCCCTTTTTCGTGTTGAGATCTCGAAAAACTCCTGTATCGAAGATTCTCATTTCCCAAAAAAATTCCGGAAGATATAGTCGACTAGTTTGAATCCTCTGAAGCCTACATTGAATTTCGAGTAGATGTAGTACCAGATTTTATGCCATTAAAACTACGGAGATCTGACGACGTCGACTTTGGCCAGGAAAGTCTAGCTCCACATATCTCATTCATAAAGAAGGAACAAGTTAATTGGAACGTCAATCCACGAATCGATTCTACATACTTCTACTATCGTCTACCAGCAGAACCTTTTGCCATTAATCTGTTCTCCTATTTTCAATCTGACTTCCATTTTTGGCAAGACGAAACTGCCACAGAATCGAATGATATATTCAAGTAAGGGATACGGGGGAAGCAAAACATGTCCCACTTTTGAAGGATATGAGTAAATTGTATGACACCTATTTCACCTTTTAAAACCGTGCTTACTGCTCCGGTGAAGCTTTATTTGGGGGATTGGCTACTACTCACTTCCAATATCGAGAATAGGAGCGCACAGAAGTAGGGATAGTCGACAAACTACATTCTTTCGGGTAAAAATATCCTCTGAGCACAGGTTTAAACAGCTACCCATTTTTCTCTGCCCTCACTGTAGGAAAGGAGCGATGGCCCCTCCTCAGTACATTTTTACCACGATTCCTATGAACGAACCGGGGAAAGAAGAGAAATCTTGAATGTCTACCCAGTTATGTCAAGAATTTTCCGAAGGGCATTGAACATCACTGACCGTTCCTTCAGGAGCCGTTCCGTCCCATGCATCCCACTTGTTTATTGAAAATTCTCCGCATCCATGCATCGCCACTTTACCTCTCTAAGATTCTTCCACGTAGCAAATCTGAAAAGGAATTACCATATTCAGAGTCCAATAACCGAATACTTCTCCTCAATAAATGGGGGATCCCCCAAACGCGACACTTTACTGGTTCGACAAAAGTAAAATGCAAGTGAACTGAACTACTAAGTTAACAGAACTACGAAGCTCTACTTTCAGCAAAAATGATTAGGCCATCTGAGAAGACCTTTAGCAACTGCAGTCCCAGGAAAATAGTTAAGAAAACAAAGTAAGAATATAAAAAATTCAAATCAGCAAAAGAGGGTGCCTTAAACGGAAATCGATGATCAGCGAGCGAATGGATGGGGATGGGTACGAAGGTTCAAGGTCCACTACGTGACCCGAAGGGTCAAATTATGCGCTCCTTTAAGAGTTACAGTAATCAAACGTTAATGAAACGAAAATCATTTCATCTCCACTTCAACTCAGTTCATTAATAGGAACGCAATATGCAGTAACTCATCACATTATGATGTTCCCATTTGGGTGGCATCTCTGGTTTGGTTCTGAAAGTAACCTTTCAGTGTTGCGATGATAGAAGTGAAAAGGTACACAATCGATAGAACCACTCCATTTCCAGCCGAGCGCCCTCCCCTTACGTTGATTTCTTGAAGTACTTCCCAAATTATTTATTTATTTGTTTACTAACTGCACTCATGGTGCCCCACAGCAATCAGGCAAATGTGTTAGTAAGTTCAAACACGGCAAGCAAAACGTAGAAAAGAAAACATAAAAAAAAATCTCAAAACGTCAGATCCAACACGGCACAATCAAAGAAAGCAGTGCAGCGTTCGGTCACATTCAAAGAAGGCAGTTGAAACTCTTATACGCTATACGAGATGCCATAAGACTTTCAACTCTGTAGAAACTTATTCGCCAACTCATTCGTTTGTGTTGTATTTTCAATCGTACAGTTAGTTTTGTTAACTGCTGTTTTAACGCCGCAGTGCGCGAAGCGAAAGTCTCACAAGGTTGGCGATTTGTGGGCAAAACTCCAGTCTCGTACGGGACTCGAACCCGTACTTGTCCTTTTCGTGTGCTACAACAGATTGTGAGGACTCTGGATATATAAAATAGCATATTTAAAATA